AATACATGGTTTTAGAGTAGAATAGAATAAAATAGAATAGGACAGAGCAGAACTGAGCAGAACACACCTGAATAGTACAGAACAAAACAGGTGAGAACAGAAAAGAACAGAGTAGAACATAATAGAATAGAATAGAATAGTACAGAACAGAACAGAACAGAACAGAATAGGATAGAATAAAATAGATCAGAACAGAACACAATAGAACAGAACACAATAGAATAGAACAGAACAGAATAGAATAGTACAGAAAATAATATAATAGAATAAAATAAAATAGAACAGAATAAAATAAAATAGAATAGAATAGAATAAAATAGAATAGAATAGTACAGAACAGAATAAAATAAAATAGAATGGAATTAAACAGAATAGAATAGAATAGAATAGTACAGAACAGAACAGAATAGAATAGTACAGAACAGAACAGAATATAATAGAAAGGAATAGAATAGAACATAATAGAATAGAATAGAATAGTACAGAACAGAACAGAATAAAATAAAATGGAATTGAACAGAATAGAATAGGATAGAATAGAATAGAATAGTACAGAACAGAACAGAACAGAACAGAATATAATAGAAAGGAATATAATAGAACAGAACAGATTAAAACAGAATGGAACAGAACAGAATAGAATGAAGGAGTCCTTTTTTGTCCCTTGACTTTGGTATTTTGGCAGCATGTTACAAGAGCTAAAAATACTGTTTAGTCTTTATAAACAACATTATCCTAACAAGTAGTACTTGAACAAGTACCCCTTGAAGTTAATGTTTATTGTACGTTGTCCCTGTTTCTCTGAAACTAAACTTGTTTCTTTGACTGTTTGTAACTTGTTTGATTAAATTATGTGGAAATCTTCACAGGTTTTAAGTTAAAAAGAAACCTGGTCTTACTCAGAGCAGGGCAGATCATTGGGCTGTGTGTTACGCTTGTCTTGTTTTCATCTTTGCAAAGATAAATAAAGTGCCTACTGGGTGAATTACCATCGGTCTCCTTTATTCAACTAGATTGCATAGTTGAACACTTTTTTCCCCAGGTATTAAGCCTATTAACTGCTGGGAGAAAATATCTCTAAAGATAATACTCCTTTTTGCTCCTAAAAGGCAGTCGTATTTCCACTAACAGAGCTCTCTGGCTTTGAAAAAATTGAAAAATCCAAGGTGAAGTAAAGTTAAAATTTGGTTCAAAAAGCATTTGGAATTATGTACCATTTCTTTCCCAATTCACATTTTAATTTTTACTTTAGTTTGGTGTGTGACATAAATCCAAACCAAATAAATTTTTTGACTGCGACGTATTTAAGCATGAAGCAGTTTAAGGTTTATAAGCCAATATATTTGCAAGGCACTTTATAAGCTTAAGCTTTATAGGTTTCTGTTTTGTCCTCATCCTATAAGATCCTTTTTATGGTGGTTTAAGCTCAGGGAGAGTGTTTAAGGCTCACTATTTCACAATGTCATAGTAGAAATTATTTTGGTTGTTAGTTGGATTTTGCTGTTATTAGATCTGCTGTTGTTATCACTATATCACAAAACTTCCCCTATTTCCCCTTAATGCCTTCTTCTTATCTTTTTTTTTTTTTTTTTCTTTTTTTTTTTTTTTTTTTTTTTTTTTTTAGCTTAAAAATTTCCTTTTTTTTTTTTTTTATTATAGGGAATCTGATGGTATCAAACAGCGCTG